CCTTATAATATCAGTTCTCATCAAATTGTGGGTCTACTTGCTTTTTGGATGCAAAATCAGCTATTTTGTCATCTGATCAAATTTTGTTTCCAACAAGGATTTGAAGCATTTAATGAGAGCTTCTGATAAACTGGGACTYAAGGAATTCAAAGTCTATGTCAACCTCTGCAGGACCTCTGCAGACTCTGTCAGCCCTGACTTGGTCAGACAGATGTGAAGTCCATGGAGCAGGATCAGGTGGTGGCTTTGGTCATAAGTTTCCACTGCATTTAAAGAGTAAAATCAGTTAAAGTTTTGCTGTAAAACTGTAGAAGGAACTAATGTTTTTATTGGCCCTCTGTAACTGTATCGCTCCTGCAGCTCAAAGCTTAAGATTTCACTCTTCAACCTAAAGGCACAAAGGAGCGTTACCGCACAGAATTGTGTGTTGAAGATCTTTCTGATGGGTTCTTCTGACAGGTCTTCCCAGAAAACCCTTGCAAAACGTTTGGATTTACCAGATCTKTCCAGCATCTTTCCCCRCCATCTGATCCAACTCACTACCAGGTGGTGAWCAGTTGACAGCCCAGCTACTCTCTTCACCAGAGTGTCCAAAACATACAGTCCAGATCAGATGACACAACTACAAAGTCAGAAAGTGACTAATTTAAATGGAGTTTACATCATCAGAATCAGAATCAGCTTTATTGTCATTCACACACATCAGAGATGCATTGCAGAATGAAATTGCAGTTACAGTATACAGTAAAACTAATGTAATATAAAAAAAATGATTACTTCCAAACACATTTTCTAGCATTAAAACTGGAATTTTATTTTATTTTTTCTGTTTGGTTGTGTCTTCACAAATGCCTAGATTTTTTGTATCAAACAAGCCAAAGCATTATAGTTTCATAAAAAATGTGTGTTTTGTAATCTTGTAAGCTGTTTACTGAAAGCAATCACTGTTTAAAATGTTTCAGCTGCGATTGTTTTCTCAGCTTCCTGTTTTTCCTGGTGAACACTTTGACATTTTTAGAAATGAGGAAGATTTATCTATCTCTCTAACTTTTGTGAAGACTCATTCTTGTCGAATGGTAACAACAAGATCACACAGGAGCCATGGCAGAGAACATAAACGAGTACAAAGTGAATAAAATGTACTTTAAAATTATACTTCTTCTCTCTGGAGCACTTTGCATCTGTGCAGAAAGTAAGTACAACTATTTCTKTGTATGTGCTACATCCGTTCACTTAGATCTGAACCAGAATGTAGAAGTTTGTTTGTGTAGGTTTGAATTTTGAACAAGCTCTCGTTTATGCTGAACTGATTTGTTTTTTTCCAGGTGATCACACACTTTGTCACACCTTCGGATGCTTTGACTCGGGTGACACTCAAGCCTATGTGACATTTGATGATGATGAAGTCTGCTATGCAGATTATAATCAAAGTCTTGTTATTTGGAAAAGCAAAATACCGACATCTTCACGCTATGAAATGGCTTACCACTATGCAGAATATTTTCGAAATGTATGCAACAAAGATATTTATAGATGGAAACCTGATGAGTCAGTAAAAAAGACTAAAGGTAATTAAAACTCAACTTGTGTTCCAACATTTGTCACTGTTACTATTTGATTAAAATTATAATAACTAAATAACACTGTGCTGTTTGAACTGTCAGACCCACCAGAAGTTGTGATTTACTTCAGAGTTGAAATGATAAATGCTGAAGAGAATACCCTCATCTGCTTCGTCTACGACTTCTTCCCTCCTGTGATCAACATCAGATGGTCTAAGAATGATGAAGAAGTGATGATGGAAGCTCCTTTCATCAAAACCGTTTCCAACTCTGAGGGGGTGTTTCACGTCTTCTCCTACCTGAACTTTGTTCCACAAGAAGGAGACACCTACAGCTGCACGGTGGAACATGAAGCTCTGGATGAACCCAAGACCAGGATTTTGGGTGAGAACAGGAAACGCATTGTTAAACTTAGCAGCACATTATTATGTAACGAGAATTTAAGGTGAACTGAAGAGTGTTTCAACAGAAGTCAGGAATAATTTTCTCTTCTTGTCCTCTTTAGTTGTAGAAACAAATGAGAAGAGCCGTGGTCCAGCTGGTCCAGCTGTTTGCTGTGGACTTGGCCTGATTCTTGGACTTCTTGGTGTTGCAGCAGGAACATTCTTTTTTGTGAAAGGAAAACAATGTCATGATGCCGTTAACATAGCATGGATTTGAAAGGGATTTTAATGCTTTGCTTATGAAATATTTATTAAATGTATTTAATTTCTTAATTAAGAAGAGTGTCAAACATATGAAGAGAAAACTTGATACTTGAGCCAGCCAGCAAGCTTTTATGTTAAATATTAATTCTTAATTGCTGAACCGTGTTGCTGTAAGATCAATAATCATCGTTATCTTGACAGTGACAATAAAGATTTTGATTCCACAACTGCAATGATATTTATCCTCAATCCTTTTAACACATGTCAAAACATCATCTGACAAAAAACAGAAACATCTAAGATGAAGATGCAAATATTTGCCAGCAGAGGTGTTACGATTTCAAAATGTTAGCACGTGTAAGGAGTGGGCTTAAGATCAATTAAGCTTTTCCTACATCTCTCATAAACAAGGTTATGAGGAAAGTTTTACCAAGGTATTTTCTCATTACTTGTTAWTATCTTGACTGTGCGAAGTGAAAAGTGACACAATAAGTGAACRTTCAGACGAGTTCAAGTTGATTCATAAAGACTATGCAATCATTTATTTACACAAATTGAACAGATCGTAAGTTACACTTGATTGTGGTCATTCTTATAACAAGCTTCAGAGTTAAATGAGATAAAACTCGCATCCGAATTTTAATTCACATCAACTCAGATTACTTATATATAGAACAGTAAAACGTCAGTTCTGATGTTACAACCAAACAATTTTACCGGCACTTTCAGCTTAAGTTTTGGCAAATAAAGACAAAGGAAAGGAGGAAAGTAATGTTAGTATCGCGACTAAATTTTACTTTATCAAGAGTGTGGCCAACCGGATCAGCACGTCCCTTCTGCACTCAGTTTCCACATGACATGTCACCCTGAACTCGCTCAGCTTTACCTGGTGATGTCTTCTTAAGCACCCCTGGGTAATCACTGTCTCACCTCCAATCAGTCAGGGAACTTTTTAATCGGCTCGCTCACTGTTCCTTGGCGAGAAAGGTGTTATTTCAGGTAACTTTTCGTCTGTTTCAGTCCAAGCCAGAAAGATTCAAGCTGTACATCCGGTGCCTTCTTTCAAAATAAAATCTCCCCTCGGGAGTTAAAAACACACTTTGAGACTTGCAGCCTCGGGGTGGGACTTTTGGCGGCATGCCACTGTCCCGGCCGTTAGATCTTCCCCAGTTGGCTCATGGGCAAAACCTAACGAGCCAAACTAGCTTCTCCGGAGAGAAACGCAGCATTCCTTCCAAGTTTGGCATCCAGGAAGAAGTGTGTGTCACTCAAAGGCGTCCGTGTTAGTAATAGAAGCGCATGACTTTGGTTTCGCCCTCAAGCGTTAAGTTGAGTCAGAAAAAGGAAGAAAGATAAAGACTTGCCAGCCAGGCGCCAGTCAAGGTTAAATTCTATGGTTGTTCACARCAGAATATGATAACAYTTCTTTAGCTTTTCTCCAGATAGACTCTAAGAGAAATCACTGCAAAWCATTTATGATGATTAATTAACATTTCTGTTTAGTAATCAGTTTTGAACCATTCTGTTAGTCCAGATAAATGAAAGATTTTCTCAAGAAAAATCCACAATTATATTACTGTGTTCCCGGTAAAATAAAAACAGTGATTTATATGAAAACACAATAAAAACATGGTAATGATTTTCTCTGTGATTTTTTATACCATTAATTAATCTTTTAGGCACGATAAAAGAGTAGAAGTTTTTCCACTTCCTTGTGACAGCCATTATCATGATTTAACAAATGCATAAACATTCTTAGTCAAACAACAAATGACTCACGAACAGAAAAGATTGTTCTGTCCATTATTTGATCAAGAGAACTGAGAAATTCTCCCAGGGTTGAAATGACCTGTCATGGCCTAAATAGAGTTCAGTTTGTGACAGAGTTCCTGTCTTTTCGTCAGGCCTGCTTCGAGGCAGTAAATCTTGTTTCTTCACTTGAGGTGACCCCTACACACGTTAGCACAACACCCCAATTTTTATTCAAGTTTGCAAAACACCCATAGGCAGAACACACAAGCTCCTATTACCAGCAACCAAATAAAAAGATCAGTCAATGCGCTGAGTAATTAAAGCTTAAGATGTTAAATTTTTTTATTTATGTGTTTGTGATAGTTAGGTTAGTCATATTTATAGTCCTTTAGCTGAAGATTTTATTCAGTGAAGAAAAACAACTTTATTTGATGATAGTGTTCACAAAGAAGAAAAGCTGAACAAATAGTCACAAGTTGTTTTATTTGACTGCCATCAAATCACTGCAGCCAAGTCATTCATTGTCAATATATAAATATATTTGCATTTATTATAAAAGTAACTTCATGTTACTTATTTAGTTACTTATTCCCACTGTAGGATCTACCGTCAGGAATAATGACTATTACGAGGCTAAAATCTTTGTTTTATAAACACAATGAACAGGCGTTCATCAAACATTTTTAGAGGATTGTTTTATGACCCACAGGCCAACTCTCTTGTCCTCTTTGTCTTCAGCTTCTCTCTGATCCTCCTTGTCCTTTTCCTGGTGACAGAAAGGTGCTCAGAGTAAAGTTGATCCCCTCTTCTAACAAGTCTTTGGTAAAACTAGCTTTAAAGTCTCCCTAGCCTCGATCTGAACCTTATCTATGCAACACACTCTAAAAATGAAATGTTGGATTTACTTAAACCATGTTATGTTACCTGGTTCCACTTAACTGAGTTGAGTAAATTCAAAGCAACATACTCATGTTCTTTGGCTAAAAAACTGGTATATTGCTTTGAATTTACTCAACTCAGTTAAGTGGAACCAGGTAACATAACATGGTTAAGTAAATCCAACATTTCATTTTTTACAGTGCAGTTAAAACCTCCCTCCTTAAAATAACATCTTTAGAAAAGCTTTTGCCTCAAATTATATTTTGTTTYGTTTCAAAATTATTTGCGCTCATTCCATTTTTGCATCGTTAGATTTCTATCTGGATCAAATGCTATAAAGCTGTTATATTCTTATTACTTTAGTCATTTCATGTCATTGCCTCATTTATTTTTATCCCCGAAATATTCTTTCCATCATTAACTCTCTGCAACAGCTTGTTATCATATTMATCTGTAAATAAATGGCACATGAAGAGTTTATCAAGTTTAAGTCAACATCTGTTTGTGTCTTAATGGAACTAAATGGGATTTATCTAAAGCAAAGTCCTCAATCATTTTTAGGGTAACGGCACATTCAGACTGATAACAATAAATCATTGATTTGTCATTTTCTTCCTTTTGCCTTTTCAAAATAAAAGGGAGTAGTGCGTCGAGGTAATTAATGTCCTAATTTTAATAATTCATAATTTATTCAGTCTTAGGCCCTATCCCCTACACTACAACATGCAGGAAGAAAAACTTTTTTTTTTTGTTTGTGTGATGGCTAAAAATTAAGTAGAAGTAAAAAAAAAGTGTGTGCAGTTTTTTCTTAGTGCAGCCAGCTTCACAAAGAGACTGTTCTCATGAGCCAATGAGAAAATCCTTTGTCGAGTCAAGGCAACTTCAGTCTTGATTCAAAACAGCCTTTAAGCTACTTCTATTTTGAAACTTCTGATGAGAAGTTTTTATTTTGAAAGAAGAAACCTGAACGGACTCTGATTTTTCTTTGCCTGACTAAAGCAGATCTTAGAGACGCAGCAAACAAAACGTGGACGTTTTTGCTAGTTTGTGAGGACCAGAGCTGGCTGCCTTAACGAACTGAGTGACTGCTGCCCACAAGCTTGACCTGACGGTCGAAAACGCCAAAGGTAAAAGCTGTGTTTTGTAAAGGTGTCCTGGATCCGGCGGACGGGGTGAAGCAAAAGCTGGGTGCTGTTCCGGTTTTCACACCCTGATAAGATAATTGATGTCTTAAAACTAATCCTCCTTTTCTTTACTGTTCTTAATCTTAAAGCCTTGCCATTAGTTAATGTACCGTACCTGTAAACACTTGGTTTATCAARACCTRAAACCTAGTTTACTGTCCCATGTTCTTTCTGAGGGTCATATTTGCRTTAATCATGATTCTTGTTAATATTTTAACTCTTAAAGTTCTGTTTATTACCATTAATTGGCATATAGTTGGTTTATTTTATTCTGTAAATAAATATAATTTATTTTAGAAAATTTAACTAACTGAAGTGGTAAATTATTGTGTCTATTTCTCACTTTCACCACAGAGAGGTATTTGTCTTTCTAGAAAAGAATCCATGATTCCTCATTAATTTATGAGAAGTGTGAGAGACCCTGAGTGTCTTTACACTAGAAAATTGTAGTGATTTAAAAAATCAATTCAATCAAAGTTGAACARTCAGGCTGTCTGTTGACTGTGGCAACTTATTTTGCACAGAGAAACAACTTTAACAATTCCTGATGGCATGATAGTGYTTACAAGTAGAGATGAACAATTAGACATTTGTCTTTATTTGACTTTGACCATC